ATAAATAGCATTTTATTTTTAAAATTTTTTTAATTAATTAATTAATTAATTTTTGTTACAGATGTTTCTCCTTTTCCCCCCACTGATTCTCCCCTCCCCCTTCTTTATTGATTTTAGAGAGAAAGAAGGGAGAGGGAGAGAGAGGTAGAAACATTGATGAGAGAGAACATTGACTGGTCGCCTCCTGCATGCCCTCCACTGGGGATCGGGCCCACAACCTGGGCATGTGCCCCAATCGGGAATCAAACCAGCGACCTCTTGGTGCATGGGTCAACGGTCAACCACTGAGACACACCGGCTGAACGAAAAATAAAATATTTTCAAAGACAGTGCAGAGCCTTTTTGTGTATTCACAGCACCAGTTCCAGACTCTAAGGGCAGCCCAGCTGTTGCTAGTGGTGGGCTGGTGACTGGACCCCAGAATGTCCTTTTTCTTGCTTCATTCCATCAGGTAGAGTCCAGGAGGGTTCAGGGGAGCAGTGAAGCTCAGCCCACAGCTCTGGGTGAAGAGACCAAGGACTGAGTACAGACAGGTTTGAACTGGGTTCCCTGGCTCCTAGAGAATGCAAATTGGACAGGCTATGCTGGGAGGAAAATGTCCTCTCCTCATGAAGGGGTGTGGACTTTATAAGAAGGGACACACACTAAACAGAATTAGGAGTCCCTATACTTAATTAAACAGTTGGTCCTTTAACATTCCTGCTGATTAGCTTGTTCAGTAGGGAAAAAAAACAAGAGGGAAGTCATATCTTCTATCCTCCCAATTCCAAGAATCAATGGAGGGAGGGCAGGAAGCAAAGGGACAAGGGACCTTCTGACAGCTGAGCCATGTGTGATATAATTAATTTAGGGAGGATAGGAATGAATGAGTAATGATATTAGTCCCTGGGGATAATTGTTCTCTGGGGAGTCAACAATCTTAGGAGGATTAGTGACACCTTATCTTCTCTTTTCTTTCATTATACTCTTTGTACACATAATCTTTCCCATTTATTTATTGGCATCTTACTGATTATATCATCAAATACGTATGAGAGTCTTTTTCTATGCCTGTTTAATCATGTTTCTCTCCAATTACCCGTCTCGTTTTCGTGAAGGCATAGCCTGGATCTGCTTGTGTCCCTCATCCCCATCTCCATGTATGCCCAGATCTAGTGTTGTGGCTGTTGCATAGAAGGCACTCAATGAAGAGTTGATAAATGAATAAGCGCATCATTTTAGGGAATTCTGAAAGCCCAGAATAACATGAACACTTCTCACTAACTAGAAACAGGGGTATTGTTTGATGTGAAACTTCTTAGGTTGTGTTTCAAAGAAAAATATCTTTGAACAAAAATGGAATCAAATTCTATTGTATTCGTTTTCTCTTAAGACATTTACACTTCTCCAAGTCATTAAATGCCCTTCCGCAACAGGAGTACACAGCAAAGCAGAAGTCATATTAGATCTTCCTGAATCCAGGACTTGGCTCTTCTGTGCTGTGCTACACCCAAGTCCAGGTGGCTAGGTTTTAGGATCTGTGATGGGAACTCAGTGTCACAATCTCTACTGGAAAAGTATTCCAGTATTTTGCAATAAGACTTTCTGTTAGAGATAAGTGTAGAAAAATGGAATGGAGCAAAGTCTGGGATTTTATTGCCAGAGGCTGAAAAAGCTGTATTTGATGGTATTCTTCCAAACTACATTATCCCACCTGGAATTACCATAAATCACCCCTCATGCTTTTAAGGGGCGTACAACTTTCCAAGAAAGAACATTTGTCAAGGTATGGAGGCAAAGAGTGGGAGTAGAAAGAGCACTGTCCAAGGCATTGCCTGCCTCCCTAGTTCTGGTCCTTGAGTGAGCCATTTATATTCTCAATATAACTATTCTCTATAACTTCTCCATCAGAAAGAGTTTTGCAGATGAATTGTTTTTTAATGAGTAAAGGAGAGTCATTCCTAGGAGATCTGGGGCACATGGTAGCAAGAATGAATTGACTGTGGCTATTTGAAAGTTTAATTCATAGATAAACCAACACCCCTGTCCTAAGGAGGCATCTCCATTGTTCATTTGCCTTTGTTCATTGTTCATTTTCCATTAGGGCTTTGGGGAGGTAGTTCTACTGGCTCATAAGTATTAGCCTTTTACAACACAGCATCCCACACTCAGCCCCAAAGCAATAAATAATCTCAGCCTGCTGTCGCTAACCAGTATGCCAAACCACTATTTCCTTTAACCCTGCTATCCTTCATGAAGATGCATTTCTCTCTGGGTCAGCCTCAACTCTCTCTACCTGCCCTTCCACTACAATTTTCCAAAGAGCCATGGATGAGAAGGCTCAGGGGTGAATATCCTCCTTTAACTGCCTATTTCCTTCCCCTGTTATAAAAACGGAAACTCGCCCATCCCATGTTGATGCCACCTTGTCTTCTCCCATGGAGTACATCTCCTGCTGTTCCAACAACAGGATGGGAAAGAGCGTCTACATCTTCTTTATTCCTCACTACCTGGGGCCATCCTTAGGTTTAGGTCATGCAGGCAACAATGACGCCTGTTGTTTATGAGTGATCAAGGCATAAACATTAATGTCCATTCTAAAAGTTAACTCAAACATGGTCTCATATTATCAGGACTTGGGCGGGAGAAAGCAAAGGCAGCACAAGCAGCTATCCGTTTTACATGTGTATATTTCAATAACTGCATCATCTATGGCTTCAGACCAGTGTTCACAGCCATCTGTATACAGTCTCCAGTGCCAGGTAGAAAAGACTGTCACCCAGTTCCTTGAATTTGGACAGAGACAAATCTTAAATATGTATTTTCTCACTGACTCTGTCACCAAAAGTCCTATATATTTTGTCATGCCAAAATCATTTGTATTCATTATTTTTTAACAATTTTCTTAAGTTTTAAAATTTATAGTACATATTTTTTTGCAGTGCAGAAAGAAATGGAATTCATGTCCAACTTTCTAAAATATTATAGTAAATTGCACACAAAACACCTCCTAATGGGCTCATTAATTATTATTATTATTTTTATTTTTTTATCCTCACCTGAGGACATTTTTGCATTTATCTTCAGATAGAGCAGGAGGGATAGAGGGAGCAAGAGAGAGAGAGAGAAAGATTAATGTGAGAGAGACACATCGACTGGTTGCCATCCATATGACCCCACCCGGGGCCGGAGACAAACTGCAACTGAGGTACGTGCCCCTAACAGGAACCGAACCTGGGTCTCTCTGGTTTGTGGGCCGATGCTCTAACCGCTGAGCCAAACCAACCAGAGCAGGCTCAATAGTTATTAAGCAATCAGGTAATTGGTATTTTAATTGTTTTATATTGTGCAGGTAGCCTTGATATATTGTTAAGTGTTTGAGTGGTTCTGATAATATTTGTAAAAATAATTTATTACTGAAAATTTGCTACCTCTGACCCCCTAAAATCAATTGCTACCTAACACATGGTCAGGAGTGGATTCCATTTAGATAATGATGGCTGTCGTAATTTTGTGTTATATACTGATGGATTGATCACTACAACACAGACATCATGAGGCTGGAGACATCACAGCACACGGAGGAGTGCTGGTGTGTACGAATAGCTCGGCAGGTGCCCGCAGAATGAATCAAGTGATGGATGAGTGCCTCTTACATACCAGATAGAGTGATAAGCATGTTTTCGTTGTTAATTTTAACTCATTTAAACTAAAGTTGGTTCTTGGAACATTTTTTTTTTTAAATAGTCTTATAAGGCAAATGGACTTCAGAAATTCTTCACATTTTCTGTATTTTTAATCTCAAAAAAGCAGTCAGCTTGGTTGTCTCAACCGATGATTTGTTGCCCTGGTAATAATGTTCTACTGGATGTAATTAACATCTTCTGTTCCCAAATGGTATAAGTACATATAAGAAATGTTTGTAAAGTCAAAGAAAATCTTGGCATATCTCTCTTCTCCATATGCTGCATTTCTTATTCAAACCAACAGTTTGAGAGTTTGAGACTCTGTATCTCAAACAATGGCAAATAACAAGGTAATAGTTGACTAAACGAGAAGGGAGTTGAGAGTCAAAAAGAATATACTTGCTGGCTAGTCCAAAAAATATCAGGCAAAGGGAAGAAATAAGAATAAACTTCATTTGGTTTCAGGCAGATCAACCTTTCTCTTCAGTTTGTCTTTAGACAGCTTAGAACAAAGCCAATTTGTTTAGGCTGAACTAGAGTGTCCAGGATTCTCTTTCTGGAATGTTTGAGTCAGAATGAGGCACAAGAGATATTGTCTCTTCAGAGTTGGGGGCTCTATTCCTTTTCTTTTCTTTATTGATTTTAGAGAGAGAGGAAGGGAGAGGGACAGAGAGATAGAAACATCGATGAGAGAGAACATCGACTGGTTGCCTCCTGCATGCCCCCCACTGGGGATTGGGCCCACAACCTGGGCATGTGCCCTGACTGGGAATTGAACCAGTGACCTCTTGGTGCATGGGTTGATGTTCAACCACTGAGCCACACTGGCTGGGTGTGGCTCTATTTCTATACAGTATAGTATACAGTATATATACAGGCCTCATATATGTAGGTCTCACTGGGCTGACACTGCTGATATTTTTGACTCACAGTGACAAGAAGACAGATAGTGGCTCCCCATGCCCCCACCCTCAGGAAAGTACAGGAGGCAAAGAGTTCTGCCCGCTATTCCCCTGGCACTTGTGCAGTCAGGCTGCTATTTTCCCATAACAGATCTTACCTCCCTCTGTCCTTTTATATTAGGGAGGGGGAAAGTCCCTCCCTACCCCTCTTGATTCTTATGGCGGAACTAGTAATAAAATTGGCATAAGACCCGATGAACAGGAGAAAAACAAATTTAATATGTGGACGTGAGAGATCATAAATGATGTTCAGACAAGTGATTGAACCAGCCAGGTTTTTATACTTTTTGGACAAAGAAACAATAAATCGGTGAAGATCTGACAGGACAAAGAAGTTTAGGTTTTGGTCCGCATTAGTGAGGTATCTAAGTAAAATTTGAGCTTGTTTAGTAAGGAAGTAATAAGGTTGGTGGTTTACCCAGGCCTAGGCTTGTCCATTGCACCCTGGATGTGCTGACCCCTGAGATTTCCCCAAATGTGGGAAACTCGAGTGCATAATCTGTAGTAGTGGGAGACTAGGTTGGTATATAGAGGCTCTCCTTAACTCTGGCCATAAGTGTCTCTCTCAGCCCCCTGGAGCAAGGAGGGCACCATGCACAGGGGCGATTTATCTCCTGCATTCAGGGAGACAAGGCAGGGTTGACGTGCCCTTCTTGCGTTGGCTGCTTGTCAAGTACCTTTCATTAAGAGGAATCAATACACCATTATGAGATACATTAGAGCAGCCTGCCCTGGGCCTTGACAGTTCCTGGCATCTAAACAATTCCATGCCTATAGGAGGTGTCTCCAGGATTGGGTGAGGGGAAGCAGAGCCGATCCACTTGATTGCCCCCAATAAAGAAGCCAGATAATTATTTTTTTTAATTAAGCATTTTTAAAATGACAGTAAAATTGACATACAATATTATATTAGTTTCAGGTGTACAACATAGTGATTTGACATTTATATAACTTACAAGGTGATCACTCCTTAACTCTAGTAACCATCCATCAGCATACAGAGTTCCAGTAATAAAATAAAGAGACCAGATTAGATAATACACTTCCTCAGTGCCTGAGCCAGCTGAGCAGGCTGCTCTGTGTCCTGGAGCTGAGAGCTGAGCATGTGCAGACAGAATGCAGGAAGCAGCCTTCCAGGGCAACCAGCCTTTGGTGAGCTAGCCTGTCCCTTTTGACACTCAAAGGCTTTAGGCATGAACTCAAAGGGATCTCATTTCTGACACATCTGCCATCTGGCCCAGCAGGGACTATCCTGAGGAAATGACCAGTAAAGCAAGGTCCTGGCTGGAGGAGACGTCCTCTAACTGCATAGCTTCCAGCAGCCTGGGTGCCCCATCCTGGTGCTCCACACCCCTCCTCTCCGCAGCCCAGGTGGCCCTGCCTCAGCCCCTTCAACTCTGACAGCACAGTGGTCCCCTGACCCCTGGCTGCCAGGCCAGGGCAGGTCTACGGTTGCACAATGGGGAAACAACCTGTGCATGAAAACAACCACTGCTGTCCAGTAAGTGTTCCTTTGTACCTTTTTAGGGAAATGACCTGGAGGTACGGTCCCCGTGTGCAAAGTCTGGCTGTCGGCCCCCCCACCCCCCCATGACCCCAGCAGGGAGGTCTCAGTACACATATATAGCAGCCACCTGTCCCCAGCAGGCAGGGACCAGCAGCTCTCTCCACCAGAAATCAGGTGAGGGACCACTCCAGGGAGTGATTGCTCTGAAAACTTACTCTGTTTTCTCTTTCAGCAAGATTGTAAATTCATTGCAAACTAATTATTCTGTGTAGCATTTGTGTATGAGGTCTGTGCTGGCTGAGTAGCACGGGGTAAATGCTTTCTGATTACCTACAGGCTGACTCAGGAGGGTCAGTTTGGTCCTAACTGCCCTGTTCCTCCATCAACGCCACCTTGGTGACCTCTTAGACAGTCCTAGGTTCAGAGTGGGTGGTTCAGAACCGAGGCCCGTGGCTGGGTGAGGCCCTACTGCACCGCTTCCGAGATGGACACCAGCGTCTCGTGAGAACAAATGGAAAGGAGGGTGGCAGCCTTGCCCTGTCTCCCTGACCCTCCCCTTTCATTTCAGCACCATGAAGCTGTGCACAGGCCTCGTGTTCTGCTCCTTGGTCCTGGGGGTCAGCAGCCAGGGCTGGTTTTCATTCCTCGGCGAGGCTTATGGAGGTAAAGTCGCTGGAGGGGGGATGGCATCCATGGCCACTAGGATTCGCCCTGAGTGCCCTTCAGGGTTGGGGCGACTGTCTGAGGTTGTGTTGCCCGATGTGCTAGAATGTGCCAGGTGTTTGGAGAGCTCTTCATCAAACAGATGGAAACCCCAGGATTTATCTGAGTCAGTTGCTAGGGAAGGAACAATCGTGGTTCCCAGCTGAAAGGTAAGTGTGACTAGAAGACACAGAATAAGTCTTGAAATGGTATAAAATTTCCCTCAGCTCAAACTGCACAAAGTATGATTAAAGCTATCCACCTTTTCATCTCCTCCTCTCTCCCTGTCTTTCTGGCTTTCTACCCCCGCCCCTTCCATGTCCTGATTGGCTAGTTTAGAGAGACCTGCAGCTCAGCTCTTGCTGGAACTTCCTACAGACTGTGACCCTGTCCCTGCTCTAGTCTGTTTGCTACCCATTTCCAGCCTTTTGACTGACCAAGGGGAACTGGCAGCATCCATGAAGCCCCCTCTAGCAGCTCAGCGGGTTCATGAGATTTAGGGTGACCACCTCTCCTGGTTTGCCCAGGTCTGAGCAGTTTTCCATGGCATTTTCATTGCTAACTGGGACAATTCCAGGCAAACAGGGACAGTCTGGTCAAGCTGGGACGGTGGGTCACCCAACTTACGTGGAGAAGAGCTGGGTAGGCAGGCAGCTGAGGCTTAGAGCAGCTGAGTCTGTTGACCAGGGACTACCTGCCAGTCAGCAGGTGTCAGAGCAGAGTCTGAACCCAGCTGTGCGTGAGGCCACAGATGAGCCAGGTAGACGTGTCTGAGTACCACTTTCTACCGCTGGGTGGTTATCAATCTCAGCTACACCCTGGAATCACCTGGACAGCATTGAAAACTGGTGAGGCCTGAGAGCCACCCCCAGAGAGCCTGAGGTGACTGGCCTGAGATGGGGCATCGGACTTTCAAAATCCCCCAGGTGATGAGGAAGCGCAGCCGAGCTGGGAACAGGACAGTGCTCTAGCGCCTGCTCGCTCAGGGCAGCGCCCCAGTCTGCTTAGCAAGTTTCCAGATGCCATTTATGCCCCTAACCCTCAGGGGGACTCAAGTCACCATGACACGCATTCTGCCTGCAAGACTGCACTTCTTAGGCATCAGGCAGAAGAGCTATTTGTGTGCCTTTCTCAGAATCTGCTTCCCATGTCCCCACCTCACCCACCGAGTCCCCTGAATGGTCCTATGTAGCTCCACTCCATCCCAGAGGTTCTGGATCCTGAGGAACCTGGTGCCCCGGGGCTGTGCCCAGCATGTGAAACAATTTTGGTTGTCACACTGGGCGATATGCTGCCTGCATCTAGTGGGCAGAGATGCGGGGATGCTGGTGAGCATCCTACAGGACTAGGAAGGCCCGGAACGAGAAGGGTTTCTCTAGCCTCAAATTTCAGTAGTGCTGAAGTTCAGAAATCCTGTTCTGTATTGACACCTCCTTTCTCTCCTTTAAACATGTGTCCTAGAGGCCTAAGTGAGCTGGACCCCATAGACAGCATGACAGGGATCAGACCACCAGCTACAACACAGCTGTGCTCCCGCCTAAATGACTCTCGTTAGAGTCACCTGGAGAAGCCAACTTGGCTTGGAGAATGTTCTTCTCAACCTGAGGTCTCCAGGGTGCTGTGAACACTGGCTGAAACGGAGTCAGTGGTAGATTTTCCATTCCCTGATTCTTCCCTAAGGGGTGTCATGGATCTCTGATATTTCACCTGATGTCTGTGCCCTGTCCTTTCCTTCCCAGGGGCCAAAGACATGTGGAGAGCCTACTCTGACATGAGAGAAGCCAATTACAGAAACTCAGACAAATACTTCCACGCCCGGGGGAACTTTGACGCTGCTAAAAGGGGACCTGGGGGTGTATGGGCTGCTGAAGTGCTCAGGTAACAGGGCTCCTGGGAGAACAGAGCTTGGCTGACTTTGGGGATCAGGAGGGTATAGGCCCTAGAGAAGGACCCATGGAGGCTGTGGGCTCCTCATGTTCGACCTGTGCACCGTCTCCATCCATGTGCAGCGCAGGGCTGGGCTACCAGCGCAGCCAGAGAATGGCTTGTGGGCCGGTCCCCAGGAGGAGAGAGTGGGCTGGGGACCGTGGGTGCTGTCCACCCAGCGTGTGGGGATCACCTGGGGCTGAGAGGCTTTGCTGGGCAGGGTCAGTGTTTAGCCTCTTTCCTGGCTCCTGTCAGGGTCATTAATCCCTAGGAAAGGGGACAGTGGGGAGGGTGGGCTGTTTCTCATCAGCCCCTGATTCACCTCCTACCTGCTCTTCTCTATTCCAGCGATGCCAGAGAGGCTTCTCAGAGAGTCACTGACCTTTTTAAATATGGAGACAGTGGCCATGGAGTGAAGGACTCGGAGGCCGATCAGGAGGCCAACAGATGGGGCCGGAGTGGCAACGACCCCAATCGCTACAGACCTCCCGGCCTGCCGGACAAGTACTGATCTTCCCTGATCTCAGGAGACGGCCTGTGAGCCCCTGAGGGCAGGGACACCAGGTCATTGACTTGTACATCCCCAGATGCTGACAGAGGGCACATAACAGCAGTTTAATAAATGCTGAAAAGTTCAATGTTGAAAACTTGTGTTTATTTTTGGTATAAGGGCTACTCATTTGGGGCCACGGGGTGATAGATGGTCACTTAGGTAAAAGCCGAGCCGGTGCCTGTGTGTCTGTGTACAGGGACACACTCTGAGTCTTACAGCCGAGACACCCTGCAGCCACCCTTCTCTGAGTCGGACCTGCTCCTCTCTCCTGTTTCTTGGTTACTTTGTTGCTCTTTTTCACTCCCTGTCCATCATGTCCTGTCACTTTCTCTGCCCCTAGGTGTTGTCTTAGTGCTCTGAGTTTTGTCCCTCAGTGGTCTCGATGTGGGGACAGGGGATACAGCCATGGACACAGGACCACGAGATCCTGTTCCAGCAGCTGCCACCTGATCTTCTGTTCATTTCTCAGCAGCATCTGCAAATCCCATTAATAACCGATTTCTGTCCAGCCCACCTAAGAAATGACTCAAAGCAGTTTTCTTCCACTCTATTTTTTATTGTCTCATTTCAAGCCTAAATGCACATGTAACACCCTCTCACGTGTGAATATTTCCTTACAGCTTCTTCACCTTAACTAGCTCTAATTGTGGAGTTGGTAGTGAAGAGTAATTTTAATACAAGGATCATTAATTAATAATATTATTAACTGCTAAGTAGCAAAGAATACAAGAAGGAATAAATTTGAGAAAGGGTGACCCACAAGGCTGAGATCTAGATCTTGTTGGAAAGTCTGTAGCCCAACGGAAGGCTGATAAAGATTACCGAGTGTCAGAAGCCAGAGCTGACAAACAAGAACTTTCCATGTAGTGCCAATGAAACGTGGCAGAAACCATCCAGGATGTAGTTGAACTTGCGGGAATGCCGCTTGGTTCCTGGAGACAGGAGGTGGAACGCTGCTGAACCTCCTGGAAGCCAGGTGTGGAATAGGCAGTACTATGGACTGAATTATGTCCCCCACCCTCAATTTATGTTGATGTCCTAACTTCTAGTATGGCTGTATTTGGATTAAGGAAGTAATTAAAATTAAACGAGGTCGTAAGAGTGGAGTCCTGGTCTGGTAGGATTACTGTCCTTATAAGAGGAGATGAACAGATTGCCAAAGCACAACCAAGGTTTCTGCCAGCCAACCCATGGCCAATATAAAGGTCAGCAAGTTCAGGCTCACAGTGTCCATGTCAGAAATTCAAGGAAGGGCTTGGTCATTTCTATTTATTGGTGTGAGTTCAGTCCCCCAGGCTACGACAGTCGTGTCTGTGCTGAGATTGTCCACTGGTGCCCCTGGGAAGGTAAACAAGACTTGAGCACCTGCTGTATGAGCAATGATTCTCTCGACTACCCTGCTACCTGGGAATTACTGTCCCGTTTCAGAAGAGGGAAATGGAGGTTTGCAGAAATGAATATACTTACCGAAGGCCACAGAGTCTTGGAGTTCTGGAACCTGGATTTACACCCATTTCTCTCTGACTCTAAAGCCGGGCCTCTCTCTACTGCAACACGGACCGTCTACTGCCATGGGAATGTTCTGTAGTCCATCATGCCCCCTCCCCTCCACTGAAAGGTAGAATAATTATGGGGCTTTGTGTCATATTATGTTGTAGTTATTGTTGTTATTTTCAGTCTGTGTCTTCTGCCAGAGTCACTGGGTGGATATCAAGGGAAAGCTGGTGGAGTCTCACCGGGAGCCTTCAGCAGATGGCTAGGAAGAGAGACATGACTCATCTGTTCTCTTAAATGATTGTTTCTAGGTCTGACAGTTGGTCGGGTTAGACTCATGTGATTGTAGGAAAGTCGGGCTTCTTTCTTTATGACACTTGCAGTCCAGTGGAGAGTGATTTCCCACAGTGCTGGACCAGGAAGAGTGAGGAGCCACCAGAGCAGAAACCACTCCTGCCTTGCCTCAGAGTCCGGGAGGTGCTGCCCTCTACAGGATAAATATATAGATAAAGGTCCTGCTCTGGAAGCTCAGAGCTGCTGCAGAAATTTCTTTTCTGATGTAGGCATCCTTCCCACCCCATGTTTGTTTTCTTGGGAAGAAAATGTAGCCATATAAACATAGATTCAACAGCATCCACAATAATTAAATAATTTCTTCATTTGTTTGAGTGTAATGTTCTCTTTTAATCTCCCGGAATGAACTGAAAGATGGAGAGTGGGGAATTCAGACTTTCAGAAGCTGTTCCTGAGGACTGTAATGGTTTTGCCTAAGTGGACAAAGGAAAGGATTTGTGGAACTTGGAATTAGAAGGAGTAGTCCTAGGTATGTGCTGGGACATGTCTAATAGTTGGCTTTCTGGAAGAAAAAAATATAAAGCCCTGAGTTACAGTGTTTGTCAATTTCCACGGTGTAAATACTCCCAACATAGCTCGTCTGAAATGGCCAATGATTTAACAATTGGTTCAAACATTCCCTGAGTGTTTAGCAGGGGGCTGGCTCCGCTGTGCTGGTATGAGGCAGCTGCAGCATCCACAGAGTAGCCCACTCCCGAAGGGCAGAGGCTGCTCTACATTCGAACCTCAGTGAAAGTTTCAAAGACTATTGGGATGGGGGGGAAGCCAAACAGAATTCTTATCCTTTACAAAAGTGCTAGCTTATAAAGAAAACGTTCTGGTTTGAGAGAAAAATGAAGTATAGCTCTTGCAATGTTTGCAAACATGGCTAAACAATAAATTATACACTCTGTATTTGGAGCAAATACATTAACTAGGTTACAGAAATTGGTCATCAGAGCACTGAATAAGATAATGGTCTACAGTAAAAGATGGCTCCAAATTAAAAAAACACACACAAGAAAGTTAAGAATTAATGTTCATCAAAATAACATATGGAACTTAAAAGGGCACAGCTTATTGGACATGTTTTACCTTTGCTAGAGTTAGAACGTGTTGTTCTAAAATTTGATAAAGAGAATAAACAAACCACCAAATAGCATTAGTACATGGCTGTATGTTATAATTTTATGAAATTATGAGTTTGTTAAAAATAAAACCAAATACATCTACTTTCATAAAAAGTTAAGTCAAAAGAGAGGGAAAATCAAAGCCAAAAACTGGGACAAGATATTTGCAATATACACAATAAAAAATCTTTGTATTAAGTAAATAAAGGCCTTCAATAATAATTTAAAAAAAGATAAAAGAAACTGAGAAAAAGGAAACCAAGCACAAATGTCTCATCATCTTGAAAATGGTAAATCTTAATAATCAGGAAGCACATTTAAACTAAATATGATACTATTTGTCACTCACCAACTTGACATAAAAAGTATGACCTAGAATGTGGAGCAAGTAGACTTCTCACTCATTGCTGGCGAGAACATAAATTAATACAAACGTTTTGGAAAAACAACTTGGCATTATCAACCAAACTCACCACAATCAAATTCAATTCCACCCATCGAAACTCTTGCACCAGGACATGTGTACGAGATTGTTAAAAGCAAGCCTGTTTGTAATAGCAAAAAAGAAACGACCCAGATATTGAAATAAGTTGTGTTATATTCATGCTTTGGAATACTATTCAGCACTGAAAATGAAAGAATGACTACAAAAGACATCAACATACCCTTACCTAAAAAAACCTATCATTGAACAAAATAGGCAAATTATGATTGGTAAATCCGTCCAATATAATTCTGTTTACAGAAAGTTCAAAAACAAGCAAACACCTTACCATATATTGTTTATGATTACACACATGTGATAAAAGCAATGTTTAAAAAACAAGGGAGCCCTAGCCGGTTTGGCTCAGCGGTTAGAGCGTCGGCCCACGGACCAAAGAGTCTCGAGTTCGATTCTGGTCAAAGGCACGTATCTTGATTGCGGTTTGTCCCGGCCCAGCTGGGTCGTGCAGGAGGCAACCAGTCCATGTGGCTCTATCACATCGATGTTTCTGAACTCCGTGTGTCTCTCTCTCCCTCCCACTCTGTCTGATGATAAATGGAAAAATATCCTCGGATGAGGAATAAACATTAAAAAAAAATAAATTTAAAAAGCAAGGGAGTGATAAGCACGAAGTTTAGGATGGGGGCTACCTTTGGAGAAAGGCAAGGAGGAGCGTGCCACCAGAGTTAGGGGCACAGGTAGCTTCTGCGGTGTCATACTATCTTATCTCATTAACTTTAAACGAGGGACTTTCGATGTAAAAATTATATACTCAATATTCCTTCTGTTCATAATCCTTCTTTGAACTTTTCCTTGTGGTAAGTTTTGAGCATCTGAAATCTGTCTCTCAGTGCAACCTAGTGGAATTCCAGGGCTTAGCCTTAGAAAAACCACAGGATGATTCTGGTATCACTATTCAAGGAATATATAATTTTATTTTAGTAATGCATTGTGGTGTCTACCTTTTTAAAAACTAGTTGATGGGCTATAATCTACCTTTTGATAGAATGTATTGGGGTTACATTGAATAATTAAATAGGTTTCAAGTGTAAAATTCTATAGTACATAGTCTGTATATTGTATTGTATGTTAACCACCCATAGTCTAGTCTCCTTCTGTCACGATTTATCTCCCCTCTGCCCTCTTCTACCTGCCCTCATCTCCTTTCTCTGATAATCACCATACTGTTTTCTGTCTATGAGGTTTTGTGTGTGTGTGTTTGCTTTTTGTTTTTGCTTAATCCCTTCACTTTTTTCACCCAGCCCCCATTACCCTCCCTTCTGACAGCTGTCAATCTGTTCTCTGTATCTATTAGTCTGTTTCTATTTTGTTTGTTTGTTTGTTTATTCTGTTCATTAGATTCCACATATAAGTGAAATCATATGGTACTTGTGTTTCTCTGACTGGTTTATTTCACTTAGCATAACACCCCCTAGGTCTATCCATGCTGTCTTGAGAGGTAAGATTTCCTTATTTTTTACGGCCAAGTAGTATTCCATTGTGTAAATGTACCACAG